TTACATAGGTTCTCAACTTGTAATGGTTCTTTATGATTAAATAAATAAACGATACCAACCTGATTGCGGGATTAAAAAAAAAAAAAAAAAAAAAAAAAAAAAAAATTAATGATTACATGTTTTTGAAAAGTTTGTTGTTTCAATTAATATTTTGTATTTATAATAAACTGTATTATTATCAAAATTCTTTTTTAAAAAGCAAAATATAAAAAAAAATTTATCTTTTTTTAAGATATTTGTATAATAAATATACTATAATATGTTTAGGAAGTTTTATGTAAAAGATTAATAATAATAATAATTTTATATTAGAATATACTTTTAAAAGTAAATATATTAATATCTTATTATAATTTATTTATTTATATTTTCAGAATACATTAAATATTTACAAAATATATATAATATGTAAATAAATTAATTTAAAATAAACAAATTAAAGTTTTTTAATAATTTGAAAATTTTTTTTACTTGGTATTTAAAAATTAATAAATAAATAGTTTGAAGTAATTAAATTAAAAGTGAAAGCAAAATAATTAAATTTATAAATTAATACAATTTTAATTGATTCTGTAAATCTTTTAAAATGATTTTTAAATTGTTTTAATAATTTAATAATAGTTTAAAAAAAAGTTTTATATTAAAGATATAATATTAAAATATATAATAAGATATTTGTTTATTGAAAAAAAAAATTCAAAAAATTGAATTTTTTGAATTATTTTTTTTTAATATAATTAAATATATTTTAATTATTTAAGAAAAAAAACCCTAATTATTATTATAAACAATTATTATAATATATTAATAAAATATTTTTTAGTAAAAAAAAACTTTTTCCTACTCCCCCTTTTGCACTTGAAAATTTTTTTTTTAGGAAACTTTTGAGTTATTTACTTTTTCTTCTTTGTTCTTTCCTTTTTTTTCTTTTTTATTTTCCCTCTTTTATACCTTTTTATTTCCCCTTCCCTATTTTCACCTTCCCTTTCTATAGACTCTTTTATATAAATCTTACCTCTCTTCTTTCTTTTTTCCCTCTTCTGCTGAATTTAGGTTTTTTCTTCTTCTTGAAGGTTTTCTTTCTAGACCTTTCTTTCTTTTATAAATTTGCTCTCCATAACATCAACCCTTGGCTAGTTGACTTACTTTTCTCAAGACTATATGCAGAAGTGATAATTTCTTTTAAGACGTGGGCTTTAGAATTTTCTCTTTTCCATGGCCTTACAAAAAAAAGACAGATAGCTTACTCCTCCAAAAGATCGACATGATTATCATTATCAAATCTGGTGTTGTTTACTTGTTAATAACTAAATTAGATATATCTAAGAAACTGATATACAACTATTATTATTCGAAAGTATTTAAAAAGTTACACTCTATTGTATCCAGAAAGATATGACAACTAATATCAATGCAGCTAACAATAAGCTAGATTAGTATGCAGGTGTCGTGCTGGTAATTGGAGAACCTGGTAAGATAATATGTGAAGACTAAAGATTCTAGTTATCCTTACAACACAAGCTGGTGATGATAATGAAAGTTTCTTGCTTATTCCTCTAACAATGTAAATTCATTGTACAAGGTTATATAACAATATTTATAAAAATTTCAACTTCATTATGTCTGACAACTTCCTTTAACAACCATTACTATATGTTTAAACATTTTTCTTTTACCTTCTCCTGCCTTATACTGGTGCTGGATTTTACTCAAATACTTAAATAATGTGACTATATATATAAAGCTTCTTATAAAAAGTGGTTGTCCTCTTTCCTACTTGCCGCAAATATAGACAACTGCCACAGGCCTGATCAACCTGTAATCTGTTGCAATTCTAAAAAGGTAGAGAAGGTCAAATACTAAGTGATTGAATAAAAGACTAATCTCCATGAGATGTTTGCATTGGTGTAGTAACCACTTAATTAATTAAACAGTTATTCAGAGGAAGTATAATGTGGAACACATTCCAGCTTGCCATACATCAATCCACATTTGGAAAGCAAGCTTATCAATTCTAGTTATAACTTGGAAGCCAATCTGTATATAGTGACTGCAGCACCTTCATGTGGCTAGATATTCAATTTTTTTAGATAGCTAGATACTATTCAAAGCATAATATAGGTTTTGAACTTTTTTTTTCTATATTCTTGGATAGTGCTAAGGAGCATAAAGGATGGACTGTATTTGCAGAGCCTGATATTTAACTTTTTCTAGCAAAAAGAGATATATATTATACTATAAATGTGTTATAAATCTTGTATTGCAAGTCTAAAATTTTAATAATAAAATAAAGTATAATAGTTTTTTGCTCTTTCAAATATATATATATATATATTGTTAAAGGTAAAAATAGTAATACAAAAAGATAGATAAATAAGGAAAAGATAATTAGATTTATTTGATATAATAAATATATTAAGTATATCAAGTATATTAGATATATCAGGTACGTATATCAAGTATATCGAGTATATCAAGTATATCAAGTATATTCAGTATATTTGGTATATCAAGTATATAGCAAAAAAGTATAAAAGTAACAAGTAAAGCAATTGAGAAAAGAGTTGATCATTCAATAGAACTATAATAAATTAACAGATCAACAATATATACTCGATCAAAAACATACATGCCTATTTCATAGAAAGATGATTCAATGAACATTACATGGTGTAGGTCAGATCGAAGTGATAGACTTGCCATGTCACACTATAACAATATATATTTTAGTTTATTTATTATTATTTTTTTTTTTTTAAATCGCAAATAGACATTAAATATGAATATATTTTTTAGTTTATATTACTTGGTTTTTTTATTTATTTGTAAAAAATTAAATCATATCATTACTTATTTACTTATTAGTTCTTATTTATAAAAAAATAAAATATATATATAATACAAAATAAAAACTAATTTATTATAAATTTATAAAATTTTTTTTAATAAAAATTTTAAAAAAAATTATAATAAAACTTATTAATTAACTATATTTTCTTAAATTTTATTAATTTTAATAAATGAATTTTTTACAATATTAATAAATAATTTAAATGTTATATTATTTTTATGTTTTGTTTATTTAATTGAAATAACTATTGTATTTGAACTTGTTTGTAAATTTATTAAATTAATAAATTATTTGTTTGTTTTGTTAAAATTAATTATTATTGCACTTGGATTTATTTATATATAAATTGAACTAAAGATATTTTTAAAAATTGTAAAGTCAAACAGAATATTCAAACATATCCACAAACCTCAAGGCCTCCAAATTATTAACACCTTCAGAATTAAATTGTTCTCAGGAACTCTCTTCACTAGAGAAAACCTTCACAGATTATACCCAGAAAAATATCCAGATCCATATTGTCCCCGGTATAGCTTACGCACTAAGGATATCCAACATGTCTTCAAATGTCCATCAGCATTGGAAGATATTAACCAACTTATTACTATCATCAATAACATTTTCTACCCTGATGGCAACCACAAACCTATCTCACACACCTGGCAATTAGTAGAGCTGACTTGTGGCATTACAGACAATATCTTTTCCATAACTAATTTCTCCAACTGGATCAAAGTTTCAACCAAAACCTTAGCTTATTTATACAAGTCAATTTGGATACCTCACTGCGTTACAGCAAACACCTCCCCTCTCACCGACATCAAATGGAACAACAATCGCCATAGCAACCCAACAAAACAAATAACCAAAAATCCAGTCAAGACCAAAACACCCAATAACAATTCCACATCAACATTAACTACTATAGACGCACCTATCATCATAGTGGACTCATACATCCAAAGCAGATTCAACTTCACCAAATGCATCTCCAAATTAATTTCAGATTTTTCTAACCTCTTCTACTCAATACTGAGTAGGTAATTATAGCTGCTCGGAGCCACTTGACGAGATATATTGTTTTAAAAATTTCTTTTCAATATTAGTTTAATGGTTACTGTAGGCAAGCTAGTATTTAACTCGTTGTACTAATACATATAAGAGATGTTGTTTCTTTCGCAATGTATATCTATCATTATACAAATAAATAAAGAAATGATGTTTACCTACAAAAAAAAAAAAATTGTAAAGTCAAAGTTTTATTTAATAAATTTAATTATAAAGTTTTTTATGTTTTTTTATATTTTTTTAATTTAATTAATAAATTATTGTAATTTAATAATAAAAGCAAAATTGTATAATTTCAAATAAAAAATATTTTTTAATAATAAAAAAATTTTTTTTAAAAAACCAGTAATCTATATTTAATTATTAATGTTTGATTTGAAAAATAATTTGATTAAGAATAATAAAAAATAATTAAAATTTCAACAGGTTTATTTTTTGAGAAATAATTATTAATCAGATAAAAAAATTAAGTTTTAATATTTATAATTGTAGAATTATTAATAACAGATATTACTAGGAAATGGAAACCATTGTGTGTCCAAAGTAAAAATGTTAATAAATTTAAAATAGTAATATTTTTTTAATATTTAAAAACTTTTTAATAATATTATTTTTATTTTATTATTTAAAATATTATTATTAAATAACCGATTTTTTGATCAATATTTTTTTTTAATATTTAAAAACTTTATATATTATATATAAATTTAATAATAATAATAATAATAATAATAATAATAATTTAATTTTTAATGTTAATATTTTTTAATATTTAAATAATAATAATAATAATAATAATAATAATTATAATAATAATCATAATCATAATAATAATAATCATAATCATAATAATCCCGATCATAATAATAATCCTAATAATAATAATCCTAATAATAATAATCCTAGTCATAATAATAATAATAATAATAATAATAATCCTAGTCATCATAATAATCACCTGTTAAATTTAAATTCGATAAATTTAATAAAAAATTTATTAATTAAAAAATTTATCAATAAAATATTTACTTACGGATTTTATATTTAACGTAGCAGAATAATAAGACTGTAGAACGATTAAAATGACTTGACATACAAAAAACACATATGGAATGTCTAAATAGTCAACACTATCCTTATGGAGAACTATTTGCTTATTGCGCTTATGAACTGTGACCTACAGTATTAAAAGAGAAACCGAATTGAATTAGTTAAGTGTGTTATATTCGAAAAAAAAAAAGCATGAAAAACCCACATACCTGAAACCATTTATCAACATTAACAAATGGAAGTTTATTGTCGAGCCCAATATTTAAAGATCTTTCCAGGTAAGACATCTCTTAAAAATGATAACCCAAAGTCAAGTTCGCTATATATTCGCTCTTTTATTAACATCAAAAGCATACTGTCACTTAAATAAATAGCCATTGTCACTTAGGAGGTTAAAGAGCTGTTTTTCTAGCAAATACTGCTGACACGGCTTTATCCACATAGCAATAAC